CCCAGCCCCCAGGAAGCCCAAGAGGGCTCGGGGCGACCTTACGACCGGAGTCAGCTGCTGTGCATGCTTGTCCCGGGAAGGAGGGTAGGAGGGCTGGGGAGGCAGCGGGGAAAAACTGTTGCCCCTTTTTTATGTTGGGCATTGTTTTTTCCTTAATGTCAGGCGGCCTATAGCACCGTCCCTCTTTTAAATCCAGCTAACGAAAAGAGGAGAGATGCTGGAGCAGGGGGCATCTCTGGAGGCTGAGCAGGTTCCCGGGGATTCCCATCCTGCCCAGGCCACCCCTCCGGCGTGCGCACCCAGCGCGGGCACCAGCGCAGTCCCGGGACGAGCCTGCCCCCGCTGCCTCCTTTGTCCTGCTTCACCTTCTGGGCAGTGCGGGGCTGGGGGGGGGAAGCCACATCTGCAGATGGTCCCGAATTAAATCCCCTTTCCCTCACCAGATACACACTTATACATATATATTTGTATATGTGTGTGTGTGTATATATATATGTGTGTATATATATATATGGATGTATGTATACACACACATAAATGTGCGCATGCACATATATATTGTCCTATATACGTGAAGACATCCCAAAACGCAAATAGCTAACTGCAAATCGTAAGTTAATTGAACGTAATAAAACGTCCTGGACTGCATCTGTGCCTAAGCAAGGCGCGGACCCAAGCCGAAGTGCTCGTGGTCACTCCCGAAATTAAAACTGTCCCTGGCCCTAATCGCTCCTCCTGGCTCCCCGTCTCCGACCCCGGGCTGGATATCGGTTGCATAGAACTTTGGGAAGGGTCTGGACTCCAAAGGGTTCCGAACTGTTAGCTGCTTGGTTTTAATGGCGTTTTCTTCACATTTCTGTTGTACGGGGAACCCCTATGCAAAGACGAGGGTGCTAACCCAGCAGATGCCTAGGGAAAATTGGGCGCGTTCAAAAGCTCTGTCTCTTTTCGGAGATCCGAGGCTACAACATGTCCGTGATAGGTATAAAATATTAACGAGCATATCGGTGGGACTGAAATCACACGCCGGAATCAGTTGAAATTAGACTGAAACCTGGCACGAATTTAAACTGTCACAACCATCTCAGCTCTTTCCAACTCCTCCCTTCCATCCCCACCCCCAGCCCCTCTCCATAGATTAGATTAGCTAAACATACAAGCCAGAATTTCGATACACAGGGAAAAGGGGGAGTAGTAAAGGTTTGGTGTTGGGTTTTGTTTTGGTTTGGTTTGTTTTTCTTCCCCGTTCGTTTGCATTATATTTTTTAAAAGTTTTTTTAGATTTTTGTTTTTCCTAGAGCATGCCCTGCTTTCATTTTTAAAAACCGTCTCCTGCACGAATGATTCCTCTAACTCGTTTTGCAGCCTCTCGACCAGAGAAGGAAAATCAGCAGTGCTGAGCGGTTACCGGCTTGTGCAGCAATACGGGTACCCGAATATGTGATTATACCCCGTCCTTCTGTTTGGGGAGGGGGTGGAAAAGAGGAGGATATTAAATAAGCGTTTGGGCTGTAAATTAAATTGCCTTTCGCCCAACGTTATATTAAACAAGATCAAACAGTAGGAAACAGCTGAAAGACTGGTTGTTGTTCCCCAACCTATTAACCGTTTTTTATTACCCCAAGCTAGCCAGTAGCTCCCCAGGCAGGTCCACCTGTCTAACTTGCCTAGAGACACTTTCTCAACTTTCTAATACCCCCGCCCTTTTTATTCTCTCCTTCCCTTGCGAGCCTGTGCGGGATTTTTAGCTGGCTTGGTTTAAAAATTATTTTTAATTTGAATTTCTTTCCGCTAAGAGAAGGAACGGCATTCTACCCCTCGGCCGGCGGTTCCCGCACCCCGGGGGGATGCGATGCTGCCCCGGCCCGGGTGAGAAGGGCAGGCAGGAGATCGAGGGACCAGGCGGCAGGGCCGGCCGGTGCCTCTCTCTGCAGGGATGCTCCGTCTCACCCGAGCCCGGGCAGCTCCCGCACAGCCAGGCTCCTCTCCTCCTCTTCCTCGCCGGCCGCAACCTCTGGCTAGGACAGGCTGACCGACACAAGACAAAATGTC